TGAGTTTAAGCTATCACACTTTGACATGATGTTTGATGAAAATATGTAGACCTTTTTGTTTGAGATATCGTTCTCTATAAATGTTTCGTTACATTAGTTAATGAAAAAGTTTCTTCCTTGTGATGTAACTGTGATTCTAAAAAAGTATAAAGACTATGTTGCAAAGCTTGAAGGATGTTGCTGCAGGTTGGTATAATCCTCTGCTACTTCTTGAAATATACTTATTTGATAAGTTAAGTGGAACCAATTATCTGGCTTGCTTCTTCTTAAGCCAATCTTATCATGTAGAAAGCAAAATTGCACTCTCTATTCACTTTAGTGACTTAGTTTATGCAAATAAAACTTTACGTGGTCACCAAAAGTCATTTGAAATCATGCTATGACACAAAAGTATTGGGCCGTGCTTGCACAGGCCAATACCATCTAGTTAATAAAATATAGAGAAAATTAAGCGGTTAAGCAAACTTATACTACTTAATTACTCATCATAGCTATAGTTTGCTATAATTATCACTCGCGACTAATGTTATACATTAATTATGTGGGCTGATTTCGAGTTTGTATAATTAACCACATTTGTATATGTATAATTCGCCAGAATATACAAATACATATGTATAATAAACAATTATCTAACCGATATACATATACAATTAACCTCTCTCCCACTTTTTGCCCTCTCTTGCTCGCCTCTCTCCTCTCTCTCCCAATCTCGCTCGCCTCTCTCTCCCCATAACATGTAGCTACGAATTGTAATTATCAAACTATAATTATGAAGAATAATTAGGCTATTTTTGAGTGACTATATGTGAAAGTTCCTCAAAAATAAATGAGGCTACTTCAAAAGTACGAAGGGACTTGAGACAAAGTCCTGACCCGTACACTAGTTTTACCAAACTTAAAATATGACAAAAATATCATATACATACAAATCACCCAAGTGGACTTGCGACCTTTTGGCTAAGCTATTGGAAAGCCAAAGACGCTATTTAAATATTTTTAATTAAAAAACAATAGTAAACACGGATAAGAATTAAAAATAAGAACTATAATAATATAACTAGTACCATTCCAAACACCAGTCACCCTAAGCAAGATAATACTATAATACTACCTACTAACTTTCTATCCTAATACGTGTCCTCCACACCCTCCTGTTCACGTCATTGGTACCTGAAGCTGCGCCATATTCGATCTTATCACCTCTCCCTTATACTTCTTCAATCTATATCTGCCTTTCCTTGTACCCTCTATAATCAACCTTTTGCACCTTCTCACTGATGTGTTTATGCATCTTCTTTTCATGTGTCCAAACCATTTCAGTTTCGTTTTTCTCGTCTTGTCCACCATGGAGGCCACACCCACCTTATCCCGGATATTCTCATTTCTAATCTTATTGATCCTAGTATGACCACACATCCACCTCAACATTCTTATCTCCGCAACATACATCTTTGGACATGAGATTCTTTGACAGACCAACACTTAGTTCCATACAATAATCTCAGTCTAACCACCCCTCTATAGAACTTGTCTTTGAGTTTTTGTGGTATTTTTTTATGGTAATAATATAGTATTTTTAAAAATAAAAAAACAAAATTATCGAACTGAAAATTTCAATAATGTATCATGCACACCCTGATGCGAGGTGTCGATTGAGAATATTGTTGGCTAAGGGTGGTGTTGCTGTTAATAGAACTGACAAATTCAGTGGCGGAGCCAGGAATTTCATGAAGAAGGTTCAAAAATTAAACAACAAGAGCTCTTTTTGAAAAGAGAAAAAAAATTGTTGCAAGTGAGATTTGAACACGCGAACATTGGCTCATTGAAGATGTCCATCTAAAATCACTAGGCTTAACAACCTATTATGTCAAGGGTGTCCAAAATATGTTATTTAATCACTGCGTGTATCATTTTACTTGTATATGCAGTATTTTTTTCCGACAAATGATTTCCATTTGGACACCCTCACATACATATGCCTACGCCCCTGCTGACAATCATGGTTGATGATGGTGATAACTGATGATAATAGTGAATGATGACAATGACAGACTATATATATATATATATATATATATATATATATATATATATATATATATATATATATATATATATATATATTGGTGACTAATGGTGATGATCCAATATGTAACACCCCGTGTCCGAAACAAACCAAAAATGCAGATTCTGAGAAGTTGCAAGTGCAACCCACGGTTGCCATCCACGGACCGTAGGTCAGACCATTGCCCGTGATGGTGGTCCGTGGTTCACCACTGCAACCCCTCCCCAACCCAATTCAGAAAATTGGTTAAGTCTCGACCCACGGATAGACCCACGATCCGTAGATCAGATCACGATCCATAGTTTGTGTCCCTAGATCAAGACTCATTTACCCAGCCTCTGGCATGAACTACGGTCGACCAGCACGGACCGTCGTTCGATCTACGGTCCGTAGGTGAGGGTCAGCAACCAGTTAGAGGAAAATTGATGATTGGGTCAACTTCAAATGGTCATAACTCTTAGTATAAAAGGAATTATGTGTCTCGTTACCTATGATATGATAGATAATTGAATCCTCTTTCCAACGCCACTGAGTTTGCTAAAATTTGACCTCCGAGTAAAAAGTTATGCTTGTTTTAGTGAAGCTGTGTCGGGAAGACTTGACCGACGACCCCAACCTACGGACTGTTGATTGACCTACGGCCCGTAGGTCCAATCCGTCGGTCACTCCTACAGCAATTAAGTCAGGGGTCTTTTGGTCTTTTCCTATTTCGTTGGACCTCTAAGATACGTTGTTTAGACCCTAAATCATGAGGTTTTATTCAGTTTAAGCCTAGAAACATAACTAGAACTTATCCAAGTCAAATCATTAATCAAAACTTAGAAAATTAGAATCAAGAGAGGAGAAAAAGGTCAGATTCTTGATTCCATGATTATGAGCAGACATAGGGTTTCTAGAATTTCAACAGATCATTATGAATTAGTTATTTAAATGTTCCAAATCAGATTATCATGGTATTGCTCAGTTTATTACATGAATTTCAGAACCTTAACTATGTATTTCTTTAGTTCTTGAATTACAGATTCTAGGTCAGATATTTCAGTTATTCAGATATGCATGCTCCAGTTTTGAACGCCATATTATCAGTATATTTTAGCATAAACCCTATTTTGAGTTATAAATCTTGAGAAGTTTTTTCTAAGGCAACACTTGAGTTTTAAACTGAGTTTTTGAGAAAGTTAAGATGAGTTTTGAGAAAGACCTTCAAAAACACATTAGTATGACAATCGAGTAGGTCATCAATGTATGAACAGTATGGTATCTAGATATACCATCAATGTTTATGTAGTATGACTTCCCAAGTCATCAATGATCATAGTATAATATGATTTTGAATTGTTTTCTAAGAAGGAGTTTTCAAGTATGAGTATCTACATGTCAGTATTTTGAGCTATTCAGTATTTCAGTCATAATGCATTCAGTTATACATGCCTCAGTTTACGAATGCATCATTATCAGATTAATTGTTACATTCTCAGTTTGCATGTTCAGTTCGAACTATCCAGTATTACAAAAACTCAATCATAATTTGTTAACCACTTAATCTATTAGGAGTAGCATAATACCGAGTTGGACTAGGTTCAGCGTACCCATGTAGTCTCAGAATTACGAGCCACATAGGTGTAAGTCCCTCTGTGGGCAACATCAGTTTAGTAATCACGCCAGCATGCCTCTATACCTTTGGCAGGGTATATTGGGTCCTCTCAATGGGGCCTATACATCGGACTCCACATTTAGCTCATGTGGTTTTATGTCGGTTATTAGTAGCTCCCATAGTTCAGTCAGACTCTATTGCATTGACCATATTTTAGTACAGACAATATTCAGTCTCAGGATGTTATAAATTTGGTCATTGCATCAGTTAGCTCAGTATTCAGTATTTTCAGTATCTATATCATGTTCAGCTTATAAATTTGGTCATTGCATACGTGCACTACATCTTCTCGTGATGTAGGTTCAGGTTCTCAGCATCCAGATCACGCTTAGATCGGTTCTCGATCTTCAGTAAACAAAATCAGTGGTGAGTCCTCATTCTCCGAGGACAATAGTCATGAGTTTCTTTTCAGTATTTTAATCCTTTAGTTTCAGTTTTGCTAGACTTAGTTGGGGCCTGTCCCAACATTTCTAGTCAGTTAGAGGCTATTTTCAGACATAGTTAGATTCAACTTAGAATTGAGTTAATATCTTCTTTGTATTAAACTCATCAGTTTTTCATATACCTCAGTTATAGTAAATGAGTATTCCTCATCTTTTCATTTTGTTTATGATTATAGCTTCCACACAATTTCTATTATTCAATTTATATTCAATATGCTCATGATCATGCCAGCAGGGTTAGCTTGGGATCACTTGTGGTCCTAGGTCCCGTGTCCGCGTCTCGGGGGTAGCTCGGGGCGTGACACAATAAGTAATAATATGGGCGTTCCTAGACCAAACTATTAGTAGTAAAGTATTTTTAGGCCAAACTATTAAAACATAACATTTTTGTTCAATTTCATATTCCCTCTGTTCCATATTAAATGATTTTTTGGGCCCTTTTTCACTGTTCAAAATAATTGAATTGTTCAAAATTCAAGATAAATGTTTGAAATGTTTTTCATACTTATCATTTCCTTTAATGAATTCTTGGATATAAATTACACTACTTACAAAGTTATATTTTTGATTTCACTAAATGATAATAGTGAAAAATCTAGTTAAATTATATCCTTAAATATATTTTTAATAAGTGCATTGCGTCACAAATTCATAGTATGGGATAGTTGGAGTATAGTGTAAATACATTTTGTACCCTTTTCCATAAATTATTATCAGTAATTTCGGAACATAAAGTTAAAATTAAGTACTCCTTGATAAAATTAACCTAGAAAAAAAGTAAAAATTTAGAAGGCTACAAGCCTACAACATTTTTTGATGCTAGAACAGACATGACCCGGAGTTGACTATCCAGATCGCCATTTCAATCCTTTCTAGCAGAAAACACTGCAAAATTCTCTCCTAATTCAAGAAAATATGTGTAGAGACAAAAGGGTCTCGATCTTCATTGCCTACATAACCCTTCTCAGCTTTGTCTCAAAGGGTATTCATGCATCTGAACCAGAATTCGGGTCGACCCGTGTTGTGTTTCAGGTTGATCTTCATTTACATTACTGCTTTTATCACCGTATATGTACTGAAGCACTGTAAATTCACATTTTTTTCCTGTAAAAATATATGGGTTCAAGTGCATTTTTGTTATTATTCTATAAAGATCACAACTTGACAGCTTCTTTTGTTGTACTGAGTTTATGGGTTCTGGATTCTAGAAAAAAAACGGTTATTGGGTTCTTGATAAATTATTTATATGTATTAAATTGCTTTTAAACACAGATACAAGATTTGGGTCAAAGTGACTGCCAAAAATGTTATTTTTCATGTTTAATACATTATTAACTGTGAAAAATTCATGCTGTATAGTTAATTTTGCTAGTATATTTAATTGAAAATGGAAGGCAGATTTAGGAACCTTTAGTCCTGGATGCAGAATACAGTTGCATTCACTGCTACTTTGTGCCAATAAATATGAAATTTTTAGTACAAATTAATATTCTTAAAAGTTGTTTCAGCATATATCATATTCAACCGCGGGGGGGGGGGGGGGGAGGGACAGCAGGCACACACCCTTGATGAAATGTTGTTTAGTTATGTCTACAACTAAAGAAGCAGAAAGAAATGATAGACTTTTCTTGATTGGTGTGATATTAAGCCTAATTTGTTGGTTATTTGATTGTCATGAATGTTTATATTCATGTTTAATTATTAGGTGCTAGAAATTCATGCTGGTTAGCTTATTCTGCTAGTAATTTCTGTTGAATCGAAGGCAGATTTGTGATGTTTGGTTAGTGGGGCAGAGCATCACTGCATCTACTACTACGTTGTGGCAGTGAGTTCGAACTTAGTATAAATATATATTTATAAAGATGTATGTCTTCTTACGAAGTCTGGTATAAAACACTACATCTTGAGCTGGCTCAATTGTTGTATTAATTTTAGTATAAAACTTGGGATAAAAGTTTCTTCGTGATACTTGGCATGCAATGATTCATAAATATATATTAAAAAACAGGACCTGGAATCTTCATTTGTTATCTGCAGCAAGTATATTTGTTCATTAGTAACTTTTGCTTTAAATTATAAGAATTAGAAGGAAAATGTGGAACTTTTTTTTGGGTTAAACAGATATTCAGCATAGTGGGCCGTGATTGCCAAGAATATATATTGTTATTAGCTATCAGACGTCTCGCTGCTACTTGATTCTGCTATTATATTGGATTGTAAGTCTTACAATAAATGATAAAAGTCGCTTGGTGTGTCAATTATTAATCTCCTCACCTCTCAAACCACCACCAAGCACGAGAACTTCGTCTTGATCCATCTGAATAGTTTTTGACTGATTTGAGCTATATGACAGACAAATTATGGAGATATTGAATTTGGTTTCTACCCTAGTGTTGCACCAAAGACAGTTGAGCATATCTTCAAGCTAGTGCGCTTGGGAGGCTACAATACCAATCACTTCTTTCGGGTAACTGCCAGTAATTAAAACATTGTGCTTTGTCATGCTTGGAATTTGATGATGAGAATCTTAAAGACCTCTGCAGGTAGATAAGGGTTTTGTTGCTCAAGTGGCTGATGTTGCTGGAGGCAGGAGTGCACCTATGAATGAAGAACAGAGGGCGGTAGCTGAAAAAAATGTTGTTGGTGAATTTAGTGAAGTGAAACATGTTAGAGGAATCCTTTCAATGGGAAGGTAGTATTTGTGGATTTTCTTGGTTACAAATAGCCAGATATACTAAGTTTTAACAATGGTACACTAATTCCTTTGAGACACACTGGTCCTATATATTTTCTTGAAACAAGCAATTATTCTACATATTGCAACTTCATGCTTAGAAGAAATGTTCATCAGGAGCAAAACGCATGATATAGTTTACTATCTTTTATTGGGTGGCAGTGCTTGTTAAGAAGCTGTACATTTAACTTCTAAAATATGGGTATATTTGGAGAAGTCCAAGTAGGAATTTTCTAGCATATTGCATTTCGTCCTTTCCCGCAGATGGTCATGGTCTATGTTAAGGATTGATCGAGGTGTATCCGGATATTGTCTTGGATATATAAATTAAGATCAAAGGCTATGGATGCTATGTGCAATTAAAATACTTTTCTATTCTGTGGCAATATACCTTGAACGGTTTCTGAATTTGCTGATATCTCATTTGTGCACCAAGTATGACGTTAGCTGAACTTTCTCATCTCTGTTTTCCATAGGCATGCTGATCCTGACAGTGGTTCCTCATCATTTTCAATGCTCCTTGGAGATGCACCTCATCTTGATGGCACGGTATGGTGGTCAAAATCCTAGCTATCACTGTGAATAGAGAAGGTTCCGTTGTTATTGAAAACGTAACTTTGTTTCTCATTTTTGTCAAATAATTCAGTATGCAATATTTGGCAAAGTTACGAAAGGAGATGAAACATTGAGAAAGCTTGAGCAGTTACCTACTAGACGTGAAGGGATCTTTGTAATGGTATCATTTCTACTTCAACTATTTTCTTTTCATACTTTTCATTTAAAACAGGTCTAAAATTATCTACTTTGCTTGAAAGAGGTATCTTATGCAAGGTATATTGACTATGCTAAAAGCTATAGTTTTTTGAACTTGATCCTCTTGAAGCCTACTTTGTAATCCTTTGTGTGGTTTGACGAACAGAACTTAATGCACATCATATTGTTACGAATCTATTCATGGGAGGAAGTTGGAACGTATGCATTTGTTTGTTGGTTGATCATGCAACGATTGGACGTAGGACTTGTGCTGGAGATTTCAGTTTAAACTCGTAGAACTATCAAAAACTCTTCATTAATTATGATGTGATTTTTCATATATGGAGTACATAGAAAATTTAATCCTGTATCCACATTCAATCGGCATAAATTGTTTGAAATTCTTAGTATAGATCTAAGTATCTACTTATCTAAATCAAACTGAGTACGTATCAGCCATCATGTCTGAGATTGTTTCCTAAGAGGTCCTATACCTTGATGCTGCGGTAAATGTTGATTGCACATGCTAAAACTAAGGGGAAAAATCTTCAGTCAACACAGTGATATCTCCAAATTGACTATAGAGATACAATGGAAGGGGATGTTGTGTTGCTGGAGGGAGTTGTACTGGAAGAATATGAATAGGCCTGGGAATTGTGATTGTTAGGAGTTGCCCGAAGGGGGGATGGGGTGGGGGTTAGAGGAGGAGAAGAAGAAGAATGGATGTTGGGGAGAGCATCATCATCGGCAACTGCTGGAAGCTACCAGGGAATGCAGCGAAGGAGGGTTATGATGGTTTAGAGGAAGTGGGAAGTGGCATTGTAAACGGGGGAAAGGGGGACTGGAGCGGTAAAGGTTAGGAAGTTTGGATGGTGAAAGGAAGTTGAGGGGTGGGATACAGTAGGGTGTTGGAGGATGGTGGTTCTGGTAAGGTGGTGTATACAGAACATCATCATCGTTAATATGTACTGTATTTTTCTTTATTCTTTTTGCATTTTAGGATCTTTCTCCATTTCTGCCATTAGTTCAGCTGCTGGAAATATGCATGCCCGGAATTTGGAGTTCAGGGTGGGGGGTTCAAGTACCTACTCTATAACAAATCTTAAACATTGAAGATGTAATTGACACATCAATTGCTAAGGACCAATTCAAAGTGTAAGCATTTCTCTGTGGCCAAATTAGTGGTCAGCCCTCTCCATTTATGGTTTGTCAAGTTAATCATGCAGAAGATGCTGACAAATTGGTTAGTTGTTGTCTCTTGTTTATGAAAGGAGGTAAAAGATACCGCAACCAAGCGTTTAGAAAATTTTGTATAGTGGTGTATTCTGCTCCATCAAAGATAACTTTTCCGTATGCTCTTTCATTTTCTCTGCCTTTTCTATTTGTTTTTAAGTGATATCATTTACTTCATCTAATCTTTTGGCAGTTTCTTCCAGATTAAAGCTTGTCATTTTACTGAATAGTCTTTGTTCTCATTATTCAGCCGACTGAACGCATCACAATTCACTCAACATATTATTATGGTAAGATAACGTTCTACTTTTTCACCTTTGTTTTAATTCTTCTAATATCCACATCATTACCTGGCATGTAACTTACTCTTTCTGAAACCACAGTACCTACTTAGCCTTGGTCATCGCAACTTATGCATTTAAAAAATTTACCTGTCAGAAGAGTGTGCATGCAGGCATGCATGAATTTTATAGTCTCTCAGTGGATGGAGTCTCTTTGGAAATAAATCTAAAAGTGCTCATCTCACAAGACGTACTATGCCAAGAACACAGAACTTGTCTATTTAGGCAAGGGATTGATTCACCTTTTTTTTTCTGGTCAAGGTGGAATTCTTTTGGCTTACAAAGTCATGGTGGTAGTATCTTTTACCTTAGCCATAAAGGTGATAAAGGTACATCTAGGAGTCATCAAAAAAGACTCTCAAGTGTCCTTTCAAATAGTTAAAAGCAAGGGTTCCAAAAGTGGGAAAAAGGCCTCACTGATTCTGGAGGTCCTTATTGTAGATAGCAGGACTTCATTTGGTCCCAAAAGCATCATTTGAGACTGGAGTATAAGATTGGTGTATTCAATGAGTGAACTAATTGATCTTTGAGCGCATAATTGATAATACATACATAGACACGTTAACTTGGCCTTAACTGACAACTAAACACTCCAACTTTGAGTATGTACATCTAGGTTCTTCAACTCATCTTCACCAGGTCAGTTGAACATTCCAACTTACAAAATGATCATCTAGACACCGCTAGAATTTATGTGCCACATCAGTGTTGGGTGTCCATGAGATAGTGGGACGAGTTAGAGTGCTTAGTTGCCAGTTGAGGTGCCTAGATCTAGATGTGCACTCTCAAAGTTGGAGTGCTTACTTGTCGCTGAGACCAAGTTTGAGCATCTATTTATGTATTATACCTTAGGCTTTTCTGAGGGAATTTTTTAGTTGTATTCACCTGAAACCGATGCTATTCTTGGTAGAGGTAGGCAATATCTACCAAGGAGATCTAGGTTATTTGTTTGCTCCCCAAAACGGTATAACAAAAATTTCAAAATAAGAAAGGCGCTCCATGAAAACAATGGAGGATGGTATGCTTTTATGGAGAATCTGGTACAGTCTTTGACAATGTGTTGTTTACATCCTCTCTTTTGTCTGTGGAATAAATATAGGTCAGTTGCAAAAGTCAATTCTTTCTTATAGAGTTCTTAGCTTGTATATCTTCCATCTTATGTCTGGATTATGTTCTTTTGTTTTGCTTTAGACACCAAGATGGAAACTTGTGAAGACGAGAGGTCGTCGTTAAAAAGAAGACTTTCTGCAGCATCAGTTGAAATAGAAAAACAGGTATGGTACTCATAATATAAACTAAACTAGATTTTACGCAGAGAAACCTTGATGTCGTATTCAACCAACCAAAAACAATTCTTTTCTGCAGAGGATGAAATGCTTTCCTTGATCAAGTGGGAAAAAGATAAAGAGTTCCGGTGACTCTTATGGAAGCTATATACATTGTCTACCTCTTTATACTGAGCGAGCGTATCATATAAATTGGGACAAAGAGAGTGTTATTACATGTGGATGCGCGCCAAGACTCATGAAATTAGAATTAGGAATGTCTCCTATTGAGTATTGACCATATTTAATCAATCATTCCATGGAATTGACTTCTATATAGCTCTTTTTGTTTGAGATTTCATTCTTAGTGTGGGGAATTGCTCCCATTACAAGTTAAATATCTTTTTTAATTTCTTAAACTGCGTATCCGATCAAATCTTATTACATAAAATGGGGCGGAAGTAGAATAAACTTGCCTCTAGTAGGAAATTTTACACCACACTACACAATAGTCTCACAATATATATTTAATTTTTTTTTTACAAACTTTAGCTAGCATAATTATTATGTATACTTATTCACTTGTTAGTGTTTACTAAGAGTAACCTTGTGTCCCTATTAGATTCTACTAGTAACGCGTGATATCGATGATGGAGGGTGGACCGATGAGGATAGGTTAAGAGAAGAACTAACAATTGTCAAACTTTTGAAAAAGATGTCGAGATGGATTGAAAAAGAAAGTTTGAAGAGCGTTAAATAAAAGTATTACACAAGTTCATATGATACATACATACACTTTTGAATTTGATGATAAGCGTTAAATAAAGATGTTACACAAGTTTATTTGATACATACGTACACTTCTGAATTTGATGATAACGTAGCTCAAAAGACAAATTTGCGGGATATGTTTGGGTCAAAATAATAATGTGTCATAGACTATTGCTGTGACATAACATCTTGGTCAACAAAATTGGGAGATGAATAATTAAGGAGCACTCTCTATAGGCAACTAACATGTCATGTTGGATTATATTAGTATAGGAAGTTTCAGAATAATCCTAGCCTTATTTGAGGTATAGCATCATGTGCTTGCTATTAACAATGAAATTATTGCACTAATTATCTTCTAATCTTTGAAATGACTGGCATGTGCCAAGTGTCAACAGCTTCTTCATTAACCTAATATATATTTTTTCCAATAAGAAAAAAGCTCAGTGTTTACAACTCGTCAATTAAAAAGTCTCAAATGTACTAGCATTGTATTTCTGATGCAGTCATCGATTCTCCCTAGAGATCACAATTGCCGCAAACAAAGACATTCTTATTATTTTATTTTTAAGTGGTGGTGTTTCGTTGATCACATAATTTAGGAGATAAATAAATTATTTTTGAAACTTATAGTCTCGAAAATATGATAATAACCTTTTTGATTATAAAACCATATGACTAAAAATAGAATATACGATTTAAAATTAAATTATTTTAAAATATGAAATAGAGGGAGCATCACAAAGTAAATAAATATATGTTAAGTTAAGCCAGCTTGCATAAATTCCTGATGAACACTTGGTTTGTGGCTTTTGGAACTCACTATATGTTAAGCTAGCTAGTAGATACACCTTGTAACATATTAAGGTTTGCTTAATTAGCAATATTTTTATTCTTTTGTAAATTTTATCTACATAGTTAAGCAATAGGAAAGTTTGTCAACAAGACTATGTATGATTTCTCCCTATTATTTCACAATCCAAATGTGTTGTTTCTCCTACTCGGTTATCCTTAATCAGAAGTTTATATGGAATTACCTTTACTAGAAAATATTTTATCCCTCATTCTTAATCAGAGGTTTCGAGTTTAAGTCCTTGATATAGAATAACCTTTGGCAGGGGAAGTACTTTATTCTCCAAAGTAGGACTTTCTGATACAAATTTAAATTAGTCGAACTTTAAAGTGAATATCAGAGTCTCAGAGAGAAACTTTTGATTGTGACTTGTTTTCTAATGCTCCCCCACCTCTTTCTCCTCTTCAATTCCCTCTTTTTAAGAGCCTATTTGAAAATTCACAAGTAAATTGAAATTGAGTGTAATTGAATGTAATTACACAATATAGCGTATTTATTTGATCAATTAATTATCAAAATAGAGGAAAATTAAAATATAACTGAAATGGTGAAATTACACTTTTCAATTCTCAATCCACTTTGGGAATTTTGGGTGCAATTACATGATGTAACTAAAAGGTTACTTAATTTTTTAAAAACTTTATTTTCCATTTTACATAATTTAATTGCTATGTAATTATATTTGTGAAATAGTACGCTTATAATTATATTATGACAAACAAATATTGATAGACAATTTTAATTTCATACATGATACAACTTTCTAATACACCAAAAATAAAAAAATATATTAATTTATAATTAAAAAAAATTATCATATGATTAAAATCCTGAATTCATCTCGGACAAATTTTAACCAAATGTATCAAGCTATAAATTTTTATTTTTTGAAATTTTTAATTGAAATGTGGTTGTTGATCAAGCCATGGCCAGAATCCAGCAGAATTGTCATCAATTCCAGAGAAGATGTTGGATAAAGTTTCTTCTTTGACAGTTTGGTCCATTAATTTCATATTATTGCATTGCAGCTTGATAATTTCAGAGCTATTTTCAGTTCTAGTACTACAAATTGAACCTTGATCTGTCTCCTTGTTCAAATTGATTGATTCTGTTGGCCCCTTTCCATTTTTCAGTGTCATAATCTGGAGACAATATTGATCTAATTAATAGAGAAATGTATGTAATTATTTAGCGGTCAATAAAGTATATGATTTTTTTCCGAAATTGCTTAGTGATTGTATTGATAAAAGATATATCATAAAGATTCACTGATAATATAATCGAAATATGTGTAATTGATGAAACACCATTATAAAAGAAAATAAAAGTTTATCTCTGTGTTGATATGAGATGGTAAATATTTTGTATGGTAATGGACCTACCACTAATATTACATTAATATAGTAAATCAAAAAGAAAAATTGATGATGAAGCATTAGATGGTAAAATAACGTCTAGTAGTCAATATATAGTAGGTAAAATTGTTCTTTGAGATTGTTTATTGTTTGTATTTATAGGAGATATATAGTAGATATCTTATTATATAATCAAAATATGTGCAAGTTAATCGAAACACCATTATCAAATAAAATGAAAATTGGTGTCTATGCTAACGGGAGATCACAAAAAAATTTTGTGGAGTAATTAATAACATACAAAGATCTAATGATTGAGCACCCAATCTAAAAGAAATTGCAACTCTAAATTTAAAACTCTGAACACCTATATTCTAAAATCTTGGGTCAGTCACTAATTATATATTATAATTTAAGTATGCGTAAATTGACCTGAATATTATCGTAAAAGAAAAGAAAGGTTGATGATGGTGTTATTGTGATTAGAAGTCAGAGTTATGAGGATGTGTTTCATGTTAATATTTTCAACGTAAACTTTGATTTAGTTAAATATAAGTGTGAATATTAAACATCGAGTTGGGAATTAGAAAAAGAAGATGAGGAAAGGGGTCTGATATACCTCTTAATTTTGTTATTTAGAGTTAATATATCCTCGTTAAAAAAGTGGCTCATATATTTCCTTACTATTATACAAATGACTCGCATATATTCGTTTTCTCTAACAGAAGTGAAAAAATTAATTTTAAATTTTTTTATTAAAAAAACATTCATGTAATATTTGATCCTTCTCACAAGTTTTTTTTGCTTCTTTGTAGCAACGATCAACTTAAATTTATTATTTTGATGGTAAAAAATGTATTTTTTTTCACTAACATTTTTAAAATTTATCATATATATGCCTCAAACTTTTTACAGATACAAAAAATAGATTACAATATAGCCGTAAAAAAAACTAGTTTTACAATTATTTTCTTATTTTTTTCTCTTTTTCCATTCACACTTCTTTTATTTTTCATATTTTTACACTGAAAAATGAAAAAATAAAATAAAAATTATAAACTAAAATAACAATAATTAAAGAAGTCAAAAAAAAAAATCATATGTGAAAAAGGATCATGTATACCTTTACATGAATTTTTTTAAAATTAAAAATAAATAAATTTATGATTAATTCTTTTCACTTCCTTTAGATAAAATGATATATTTGAGATACTTTTATAATGATAAAAGTATATGTGATTCACTTTATAACAATAGCCGATATATACTTTTATAACAAAAAATATATCAATTCTAAATGATTAAATTAAAGAATATATTAGGTCTTTTTTTTTTAAAAATAAAATAAATGAAGATGTGTCCCCCCCTACCCTCTCTCTTTTTTTTTTTTTTTTTTTTTTTTTTGAGTTTATTGATCAATTATTTTAATTCATCATGAGCAGTGAATCTAATGAAGAGAACATGGGCAAAAGATTCTTAATTTTGCTCTGAAAAACATGCACATCAGGGATTGGAATCCACAGCAGAGGAAATAGGCATATTATTTCATCAATAGCCAATGTTTTTTTTCTGAAGGGTAAAGAGGCAAATATATCCTTCAATTTTGTGATTTAGAATAGATTACATTATATCTATGTTATCTAACAAATGATGCATATTTACTCTTTTTTATTGACATATCTATATTTACTTGATTGAAAAAAAATTATAATACTAATTTTTAAATTTTAAAAATATCACACAGCTGTAAAAAATTATCTCACCTCTTTTTTAAATCTCTATGTCAGACCTAAATGAAAAAAATAATCAAATTCCTCTTCCACTCGGTTAAAAAATGGATTCGAATTGATCTGAACAGATGAAGAATTACGTTTTTTTTTAATTGGGCCGGATTTGAGTGCGTAAAAATATATAAATGAGGTAATATTTGAAGCCACGTGGTATTTTGGAATTTAAAAACCAATTTACAGATTCTCTTTTTTTAAAGATTCAGTCTGTTAACAAAAAGGGCAGATGTATACAGTTTATTAGACGATGAGGGTATATATGCAACATTTATTAGATGGTAGATATGTACTTCTTTTTTAACAAGAGATATATCTAAAAGATATATTTGCCCCTTTGCCTTTTTTTAATGCCAAGAAAATTCATATGC